CTTTGCAAAATACTTTACTCGACTTTTTATCTGGGAGCGTTTCTTTTCTATCTCCATACAAAATGAGTCTTGTGCTTTTTTATCTTGGCAGTCTCCTTGTTCTTTCTCTGAAATCACAGAATGCTGACATTGCAGGGGCTCCTCCTTCTCTTCCTGCTCCGGTTTCTGTTTGCTTTCCAATTCTGGGTCTTTATTTAGAAGGTTATTAATAATATTTTTGCAGGCAGCCTCAGCTGCCTGCCGCACCTCATTAAAGAGAATTTCTTTAGATAGGTCCAAGGTTATATATCCAAATTCACTGTTTTCTAAGTTAATTACATACTGTTTCTCCTGTTGAGTCGTCTTCCTTTTCCCGAATTAATGCCATTTCCTTATCACTTGCTCCATTCCTTTCCATGGCCGCTTATACGTTTCAAAAGTTTGAGGTAATCTTGTGGGGGTCATTTAATGAGGGTCATCACAGATTGTAAAGAGAGCAATTGCGTACTCACAAGTTTCTTTTGTTGCAAGACAAAACAAAAAAGGAAAAAAAAACCCCATGAACGAAACAGTCTTTAAAACGGCTGGTCGCAGCTAATGAAAAACATGGGAGCCATGTTTCTTTCCCTCGGTCGCTCCTGCTTCGAGGCAAAAAACGGCTCACCCCCACACTTGCCGGGTGCGGGAGGTGACCGAGTGAAGCCTCCTGCTAATCCGCCTCCCTCCAGGAGGTTGGGCGATGCCCCCGGTGAGCCGGGAAAGCATCAAAAGAGCAAAGAGGGGAGCGGGCGATTCAGGAGTTCCGAAGAGCGCCCGCTCGCTCACTGAGCCGTACCAGAAGCTCCAGACATTTTATGTTTTATTGTCTTGGTGTATGTCGTTGTGACTGTTCAGGTACCACATTCTGCATTCATACTTTTCTTCATCTTTCATTCTGTTGAAGCCATCTGGACCCCTTACTGAAACTCTTCCTGGAGTAAATCCTACTCTTACTTTCACCCTGTCCATCTTTGACGGGTAAAGTGGTGCTTGTGGCCATTACTTAGGACCATTATTTTTGCTGCATATGCTGTACAGATTTACGAAAGCAATATTTTTAATATTTCCTTTTTATTGGAGCTGAATATATCTGGATTAATGAAAGGGAAACTGTGAAACGTTTATTTGGGGGATATTTGGCTGTTCTGCTATCTCTTGGCAGATTGGCTCGAGTCTTTTCGTACGGCTAATATTCCTCTCCTCTCTTTCCAACAGAAGAGCTTAGATTCCTATAAGGTATCCCCATCCTTGCTCCGGCGATTGTATGATGGCCAGGGGATTTCCTATGAGGCCCTGCTCAGACTGACAGGCAAGGAAGAAATCAGTAAGTTTCCCCTAAAGTAACAAAAGGGCTTGTATAGCAGAGAGAGGGGTGAAATGTAATGTACAAGCAATTCAGGATGCCCTGATTCCTAGTGGTGTGTGAAAATAAGTAATTTATGTGCCTCTCACTCTAAAGGTGGGATGCCAAGTCTGCCTTATAAGAGTTGCCCTCATTGCAGCACAGAGCAAACCAAGACAGGCGTGAGGTGAAACAGAACTGGTGAACCAGCCACAGATTGATGAAGGAGAGAATTTTCTGTGACTTCCAAGATCATGTCTCAAAACAGAGCAAAATACACAGGCAGCAGGAAGATGCGTAGCTTTCCCTTTCCCTACTTCACACATGTCAAAAATCCTTGGATTTAGGGCCAGACTAGATGGGCACCAAGGTTGCCTCTATTGTTTCAAAATGTGAGTAGTGTTGTGATTAGGGTTGCCTGTGTGTGTTTTTTTAAAATTGCACATCACTGCTGTGGAGGTGTAACGGAGCTGCAGCCAGGAGCTCCAGGTTTGCAGAAATCCCAAGGAAACAGCATGACAGATCCAGGTTTGCTTACAAGGAAATTTTTAATAAAGCATCCCATTTACAGAAAATTCAGGCTTCTCTTGGGAGTGACTGAACACTGTCTTCCCACTAACCTCAGGGTAACTAAGCACCAGCATGTAACAAAGATGGAGTTACCGAGGGTCTCATTTCAGGAGGGTCTCATTTCAAATCAGCACTGAAGGGAAGGTGAGCTATTTGTCCAGTGCCATTTCTCAATGCAAATTGCCCCCCATGGGGTTGCTGTTTACCCCACAGGTGGATAAAAACATACATATATAATTTCGTCTATGGGGCACAGAGCAACTCCAGGGTAGAGATGGAGGCTGAAACTGGGGGAAATGACTGGCAGACAGTTAAGCACCCCCATGCCCCCAATCTAAATTGGTGCCCCCCACAGCTATTAACAACATTTGAAAAAAAATGTGTGGGTTCCTATGGTCGAGATCAGTCAGATTCACTCTCAAGTAAGTATCCATAGGACTGTTGCCCTAGCCATGGCTCTCTCAGGTCATATTTACTACAGCTGTTCCTATCAGCAAGGAAGGATTTTGTCGTGACGAACAGGAACACTTCTAAACCTACAGAAGACAATGTACTCTGCAAAAGCCGCAGTAAAATAATGAAATATAGAAAATCCTTTTTGTAATCAGATGGATCTGATTAGAGTTAAGCTAGATCTGGAGTTCAGCTCAAATAAAGCCCGCTTCACATACAGTAGGATAAAAATGCAAGCTGAGAAGAGAGAGGAGAACCCTAGCACCTTCACACAATCTCCGAATTAACATATGCAATCTGACAGATCAAAGGCCTCTTCTGACTGTCAGTGCACTCCACCCTTTCCCTGAATTCCTGTGGGGAGATAAGAAAGAAGCAATCTCAAAGTAACGAGGTCCCAAGCCATATGAGATTTAATAAAGGATGCTATTTGAGCATTTAGAGGCATTGGCCGGAAAGGCCAGAAATAGTAGTTCATTCCAATATCTTCTTGATTCTGTTTTCTCTTTTTCCAGGTCCCCAGGCACTTGCCTCCTCCCAAAAACGTAAGTAGGTTCTCTCTTTCAACTGCTCTCCTTTTATGCTTACCATTTGTGTATATGAAGCCTGCAATCTCCCATCCCTGCCCTTAATCGTCTTTGCTTGATCAATTGAGCAGTGAGAGTGGGGAGGGCAACATCACAGCATCCTTGACACTCTACAAATGTCTTCTAATCTCTATGGTCTTTACCATAGAAATTAGGGTAATTCCTAGAGTGTCATAATTAATTGAGGAATTAATTGAGCAGAAACAGAAGAAATGGTGGTGGTGGCATCACAGCATCCTTGACACTCTACAAATTTCTTCTAATCTCTGTGGTCTTTACCATAGAAATTAGGGTAATTCCTAGAGTGTCATAATTAATTGAGGAATTAATTGAGCAGAAACAGAAGAAATGGTGGTGGTGGGGGGACACAGCATCACAGCTTCCATGATGTTCTAGGAATTTCCCATAATCTCTGTGTTCTTTACAATTCCTAGAGTGCTGCAGGGACTGTGGCTTCCTGGAACTGACATCACAGCATACCTACCACTTCTCCCTTCCCCAAGCTCCACCTCTCCAAGCCCCCAGGATTTGCAGGCCCAGGGCTGGCAGCCCTTCCCCTTGTGTAATGACTTCTGTTGTGTCCGCGGATCGCCACCAGGGGTCTGTGGCCTCAGTCCTTAGCTTGGTTCCAAACACAATAGGGACCAAGGATCCTAGACCCTGAGTCCTCCAATAGAACCTTTGGCAGGAAATCCAGACCCCCCAATGGAACTGTGCGTGTGCCTGGGTGGAGTGTACATAGTTGGCCCTTGCCGGGCCGTGTGCGTTCTCTTGTTGTGAAGTACAATAAACGCGTCTAGTTAGCATGTCGTAGTCCGAGTCTCCATGTGCAAACCCAGTACTTTACAACTTCTGTTATTCACTCTTTTACTCCTAGCACCGGGGGGGGGGGGCTGGGGAGATGTTCTGGGAGTGGCTGAGGATGTTGTGCAACATGAATATGTTACCTGGAAATAACATAGGCACGCCAGTGACATTGGGGGCAACGCTCTGGTTTTTGGGTAAAACTCTATGGTAAAATCCCCCTCAAACCATAGAGTTTTCTCTAAAACCAGAGCATCACCCCCCACATCACCAACATACCTATGTCACTTCTGGATGATGTCACATGTTCGCATGTCGTCGCTGTTTGGTGTGGGGTGGGGAGATTTCCTTCTGGCAGCCAGCTGGCCACTGGTGGGCAGGAGCCTGTGAAAATGGGGGATCCCCTACCCCCACCTGGGGAATGGTAACCCTAATCCCGCCACAAGTGGGCCTGTGTTTCCATCTCTGGCTACCCCTCTCCTTCACTCTGGTAGGTTTCCATTCTCTGGCATTTGTAGCAGGGGCCTGGCTAAGCCAATATTTCCGGTGAAGCCAGAATTCTAGATGGTGCTACAGTGGAGGTAGGAAGACAGGGAGAAGTGTGGCCAGGTAAGGCTGAGGATAGCATGTCAGGATGATCCCGTGGGGGTGGAACAGGGTTTCCAGCTGCCTGTCCTGTCCGTTTAACAGAATGGGATGTTATTTACCAGGTGATATTATTTATCTCCATCAAATGAAAAGCTTCAGCTGCCCATTTTCACGTTAAGCCTCCATCAAAGGGACAGAACAAGATATTTTCCTCCAGGCTTGTTCACAATTGTGAACACGAGCCTCAAAACAATCATCTATCCCAGTGATTGTCAAGTATTTAGAAGTGTACTTCCTGCAACTTTCCCCCTCCCCAGCATTAAATATAGGGGTCTCACATTGGTTACCACTGCATAAGTTTATGTTCTGTTTTTCACATTTATAAATATATAGGACTGTTGAGCAATAAATTGTATTTTCTGGCCATTTCATATCTCATGCAGAGACAACCCCAAAGTTGCCATCAGACTGTCTTTCCCAGATCACTCGATTCTCCTTCCTGGGCTTGTGACCCACCTTTGAGAGTCACGATCTACCCTTGGGTCCCAGCCCGAACTCTGAGAACCACTGGCCTGGCGGATTCAGAGAACAGAAAGCAAGCAAGCACTGTATAAATAACACAGATCATGGAGTGCACAAAGGTATGCTAAAGAAAATATATTATAGAAATAACAAAGATAACAAGGACCACATATATCAGTAAAGGAAGATTACATCATAACATGTGCAAGTCCATAAATAGTATCCATAAGTTCATAAGTAGTTACATAAATCCATAAGGTGTAAGTATACGAAGACTCCGGATTTTAATCTTCGTTTCGAAGGTTCTTCTTCAAAGAATTCAAACTACTAGAATTATAAGCAAAATCCAAACCATTATGTATATTGACAATAAACAAAACCGTATCCTATATACCAAGAGGCAAGTGTTACCTTTATAAAGTACTGATAGTGTACAGAAGACTTCAATCATGTGTATGTAGGAAAATTCCTTCACACAGCAGTCATAAAGAATAAAGCCTTCAGACTAGTAATACAGGAAGAATTCTGAAAAAAGGGGGGGGGGACAAGTAAATACATTTATAGTCACAAAAATTACTAGTATATTAAACATTATTAAAAGGCCATAAAGCTCACCAGTCCTATTATTAATATGAAGCCGGGCATCCGATCAATAGTGGAACATGTCCTCAAATAGTCAGTAAGCCTCAAAACTACAGTCAACAGCTGAAAGCATACTGTAGTGAATGTCTGTTAGGCGCCATAGCACAGAGATTCTTAAAGTAACAGTAGGCTAAAAGCCTAATTCCTATTACTACTCATGTAACAGTTAAATACTAAAGAAAGATTGTACCAGTTCTCAAGTAGCAGCCACTTTCTAATACTAATTGCTTGAGAGTCACAAAGAAGAAAATTCTAAAGAATTACAGTTCTAAGTTCTAAAAAAGGATTACAATAACATCATGAAGTGACAGTCTCTAATAATTGTTTGACTGTAGTTTTGAGGCTTACTGACTATTTGAGAACATGTTCCACTATTGATTGGATGCCCGGACTTGCACATGTTATGATGTAATCTTCCTTTACTGATATATGTGGTCCTTGTTATCTTTGTTATTTCTATAATATATTTTCTTTCATACCTTTGTGCACTCCATGATCTGCGTTATTTATACAGTGCTTGCTTGCTTTCTGAACTTTGTGTACTGTGTTATCACTAGTGTTTTGGATTCAGAGAACAGTCATTAGAACAGGGTTGTTTTTCATTTGGAGTCCTCAAACTTGCATCCACATTTGATAAGGCTGGTAGTATTTGGCTAACACTTATCTCATCTCTGCAGGGGACATGCATGACTTCTTTGTTGGACTCATGGGCAAAAGGACCTCAGAGCTTGGTAGGTACATGGCTGAGCTGGGTGGCTGTGAGGCAAGAACTTTTTCCCTGAGCACCCTAGAATGATATTGTAATAAAGTCATAGAACTGGATATTACAGTATGGTTTCTCTATTCTCTATCTGTTAAGTGCAGCAAAATACTCAGTACACAGTATTAGGTGCGGAATGCAGTTTCCTAAGGACCTTAACATTCGTTTTCTAAAAACCTAAACAACCTAGTTTTTAGTCCTCATGGCTGTGAAATATAGAAGTGTGTGGGTAGTGCTATGTGAAACTCAGAAGCCCATGGAGCTGCAGAATAAGATTTTCAGTGACTGGGGGCAATGTGTTAGTGTCCCTATTGCTCTTGCCCCTCCGAATAACTAGTAGAATGAATGCTGCAAAAGAGTAAGACAAATGTGCAGAATTATGCTAAGTAAGAACAGTTATGAAAATATGCTTCATTTGTATAATGTATGCAGATTAAAAAGCTTTGGTTTTGGATGCAGAATATAGATTATTTGGTGTATTTTCAAAAAGGCACAGCATTCTGGTTTTAGGCAAGTTACCCTAATAAGTAAACAGTTGTAAGACTTCAGTAGACTTAGAATGGTGTAACTGTATAGGATTGCACTGTAAATAATTTCCAGGTGGCTGAGGGCTGATATCCTTGGCTTAAACTGACTGAGTGCATAAAAGTAAATGCTACAACAGGGGAAAGTAAAATGGGGCAAACAACCACAGCTCAAGGGGAAAATCCTGGACATGGTTTAGAACACAGGGCAGAAAACTAATTACGTTTTAACAAAGTTTATTTTCCCCTGTCCATGTATGATGTTTTGGAGCATGGAGGCAGAGCACGAGAGGAGTTCCCGTTGATGCCAAAGAGGGGTTTCCAAAGGCCCATTTCTGTTACTTGCTGGAGTCTCCCCTGGCATAGCATTTTGCTGTCAGGGCAGATGGGAATGCAATAAAGAAAACCTGACTTCAACTTGTTTCTTCTCCCTCTGCCCCCCTTCAGTATTTTTCCTCTAGGTTAAGTATGCTAGTTCAGCCTGTCCTCATGAGACTTTCATCTTGTCGATGTCCACTTACAGGGGTGTCTTGGCAGGACTGAGGATGGCACCATATCTAATTCATATCATAGAATTTTTGTTTCCTAAAAAGAAATCCAAGACACCTAGAAGAAGCCCCAAGTTCCTGTAGTGGTTACTTATGGTGTCTGAAATGGAAATGTTGATGACATAGACATTTCCTGCTCTCAGAAGGGGAGGAAGCAGTTTTTGCTGATTCTGCACCCCTTCTGCAGATCCTCACTTCCTGTTCCTGTTGGTCTGTTGACCTGCTAGGGCAGGGTTTCAGGGAGTATAGCAAGTTGCCATGAGAGGTGGAAGGCTGAAAAGTTCTCTTCCATGAGTATGGCAGCATTCATGTTGCATTCTTACCAAGCTATATCCTTCCAAGCCATGTCATAATATTTAAGGGAGTCTTAATGGCTGCCATTTTACATTCTTGCAGAGGTTGGGAAACAGGGCAGGGGAATTCCTTTGGGACCATCATCTTTGAGCTATGGAAGAAGGTGGGGACAGTGATTCAGTGGCAAAGCTCACAGTGGAAGTCCTAGACCGATTTCACACATAGTACTTGCCTCTGGTTCCATGTTGGGTAGTTTGCCCCAGATCGTTCTAATGGATTTCCCATTAAAGCTTTTGGTGTGTGGCTGTTTCCTGCTGCTTCCCTCCTCCCAGTCCCCTTTCTTCGCCCTCCTCATATCCCGCCCCTCTTTTTAACACTTTTTTAAAAAAAAACCACGACGAGGAGCAGCAGATGAATGGAGCGGGTGAGTGGGCGTGGAAAGAGGGGTGTGTGTTTTGGCTTTACTGTGAGGCAACAGGAAACTTCTGGGAAATCAAGGATCATGCTGAGGTGGGGCAAACTGGGGGAAGAAGCGGGTCAAAAGGTGGCCGTGGGTCTACTGGTGTGAAATTGAGCAAAACAAGCGGTGTGTGTGGGGGAATGGAAGAGCCAGCGCGGCACAAAGGCTTATGTGAAATCGGTCCTAGCTTCAGTAGCTGGCATCTCCAACTGAAACACTTGAGAGATCTTTCTCTACTCGAGGCTCTGAAAAGCTGCTGCCAGTCATAGTAGACAATAAAGAGCTAGATGAGCCAATAGTTTGACTGGATATAAAGCAATGTCATATATGTTTACATTGCTAATGTAGGAGCTGTGGGTACAGAACATCCAGAATGTACCAGGATCGATCCCTGGCATCTCCAGTTAAAGGATCTTAGGTGATGGGGAAACGTCTCTTCTCTGCCTTGAGACCTGGAGAGCTGCTGCCGGTCAGAGCAGACGATATGAAGCTTGTCTGGTCTGACTCAGTATAAGGCAGCTGCACCTGGTGAAGGGATGCCAAAGAAATGCTCCTGCTTAAAGACAACTGTCCTTCTTCTCTGATCTTAGATAATTCCACAGAAGGGAACAAGGAAACGCTCCCTGGCTTTGGCAACCTGAAATACTCATCAAACGCAGAATAAGGTAAAGGTGCTTGGGTGGGGGGGCTTCTAGTGTCCTGGCCCCACTGGTGGACCTCCTGATGGCACCTGGTATTTTTGGCCACTGTGTGACAGAGTGTCGGACTGGATGGGCCTTTGGCCTGATCCAACATTGGCGTCTCTTATGTTCTTAAAGGTGGAGTGGGAGCGGAACTTGACTCTGTGTAAAAAGAGGGGGAGAAAAACGCCATATAATTTTCCCCACGTGTTTCCCGTTCATGTGCAAACTCATACACAATCTCGTGCAGAGGTGCACAAATTCAAGTGCACCCACACTCTTACACAGAGGTCATTTTGGGGGAGATCGCGGGGGATTGCAGTTCCCCCAGGTGAGGTACGGGGGGCGGGGCTTCCGGCCACCCCGCTTCCGGCCCTCATTCAGCCAGGAGGAGGCAGGAGAAGAGGGAGGGTAAGTTGCTTCCTCCCTGCCTCTCCCCACCCCTGCCTGCCTGGGGCCAGGGAGGGCCTTCGCGGGGCTTCCTTGCACTCCCGCCGGCCTTGCAGGTCCACCACCCCCCCCTTTTTGTGGTTAAGATGAAGTAGCGTTTTATCCTATGAGCCTTAGCTATCAATTTGGTTGCATGGCTCTCTTGCCACTTCCAGTATTGACAGTGTAGGTCAGACAGGCTGCACACGCCTCTGAAACATGGCACCAGGGCACAATAAAGGAGCAAAGGCAGTTGTAATGTATTCTCCAGAGCAGGAGCAAAAGGAGTGGGTCTTTAAATAACAAATATTTGTACAGTGAACCAAGCTATTTAGGGAGCTTGCTGGCTCCGCTTAGATCTAAAGACAGTGACAGCACCAGTTCCAATGCATCTCTTGACACTTGCAGGAGGCGGAAACAATTTTGTGCGCGCATATAAATTGCTGTTATTCCAGAATTGGTTAGCACAATAACATCTCATGGGATTATACCCAGATGTCTGGATAAATAACTCACCCCAAAGTATTTTTTCCTGGGCAGGGGGTGGGAAATAGATAAACCTTGATTTAACAGTTGTTTATGTTTTCATGTGTTGAATGGGTGGGCATTTCTCCAGTGTCCCATCACAAGTGTTGGAGTCCTTAGCTGCTGTGAATTTAAAACAAAGAGCGGTGAGCTTACTGAGTAAGATTGCCAACATCCAGGTAGTGACTGGAGATCTCCTGCTATTACAACTGCTTTCCAGGCAACAGAGATCAGTTCACCTGAAGAAAATGGCTGCTTTGGTTGTTGGACTCTATGAAATTATGCCCCAAACCCTGCCCTCCTCAGGTTCCACCCCCCAAAATCTCCAGGTATTTCCCAACCTGGAGCTGGCCATCCCTGTTACTGAGAGGCAATGTTGTGTAGTGGTTAGAGTGTTGGGGAGGACTGGGAAGATTTGAGTTCACCCCCCCCCCCGCCACAAAGTTCAGTGGGATGGCTTTGGGCCAGTCCGTCTCTAGGATTAACCTACCTCACAGGGTTCTTGTGAGGGTTAAGTGGGAGAGAGCATCAAATCTTATATATCATTCTGATCTCCTCTGGGGAAGGGTGGGAAGAAGAAAAAGAAGAAGATTGGATTTATACCCCACCCTTCACTCGGAGTCTCAGAGTGGTTTACAAACTCCTTTCCCTTCCTCTCCCTACAACAGACACCCTGTGAGGTAGGCGGGGCTGAGAGAGCTCTTGACAGAAACTGCTCTTTCCAGAACAGCTCTGATAGAACTATGGCTTGCCCAAGGTCATCCAGCAGCTGCAAGTGGAGGAGTTTGGAATCAAACCCAGTTTGCCCAGATTAGAGTCCACTCACCTAAACACTACACCAAACTGGCTGTCCTTCCCTTCCTCCTGCTGTCTCTTTCCTGAGCGTGTATGAAACTTACCAAGGGATTGGGGAGACTATCTAGGCCTAACTATGCAATATATAATTTATGGACCCACCCTGATTTATGCACAGGTAGTTTACAGTTTAGGGTGTCAGATTAAGTGTGGACTCAAAATATCAAAAAAAAATACTAAAATTAATTTGGCCCTGGGCCTTGGCTCAAGGGATTGGGGAGACTATCTAGGCCTAAATATGCAATATATAATTTATAGACCCACCCTGATTTATGCGCAGGCAGTTTACAGTTTAGGGTGTCAGGTTAAGTGTGGACTCAAAATATCAAAAAAATACTAAAATTAATTTGCCCCTGGGCCTTGGCTGTTGCCCAGATGTATACTAGGAGTTCCACGTAGAAACAGTTCCTTAATGCTTCGGTTCCCCCCCCCCCCCCCCGTCTCCATGCATCTGAGAAAAGGGAGCTGTGTTTCTCAAAAGCTTATGCTACAATAATAAAGTTTGTTAGCCTTAAAGGTGCTACTGGGCTTTTTACGATTTTGCAGCAACAGACTAACACGGCTAGCTCCTCTGGATCTATGACCCTGGGGGAAATGACAGCTTTGGAGGATGGGCCGTATGGCAGTATACCCCCCACTGAGGTCCCTCCCTTCCTCAAACCCCACCCCCCACAGGCTCCACCCAAAAATATTTGGGAATTTCCCAATACAGAGTTAGCAACCCTAGCCCTACTGAAAAAAACTTTTAGGTAGTCCCTCAGTACATGTATAGCTCATCAGTACATATACATTTCCCCAGTTAGGTAAGCAGTGGATCCCTATAGCTATGTCAGGTTGTCAAACAATGAAGGGGATGGGAGACTTAAGTCCCCTCTCCCCAGGAGCCACTTCATAGAAAAACAGGTGCAGGAGCTCATTTGCATAGCTCATTTGCATATGCCACACCCCCTGACAAAGGGCAGGCAAGTTTAAATCCCCCCCCTTCCCTGAGTTTCTCTGCCACAGCGGAGAGGGGGGAAAGGGGGCATGTCTGCCCCCCTCCCTTTCCCCTCCCCAGCCAACCCGCCGTGGCAGGCTGGCTGGAGAAGGGAAGGGAAGGGCGGGGAGGCAGATATGCCTGGGTTCCCTGCCCGATCTTCTCCAGGTGCCCTGCAGAAGAAAGGCATTTAAATCCCCTCAGGTGGCGGGGGGCGCCCCTGGGCTCCTTACTGCTGGAGCGCTGCTCCGGCGTGCTCTGGCAGGAAATGACCCCTGCCTCTCCCCACACATCACTCCCAGGATCTGAATCAGGCCACCACACCTCTGAAAATTAGATTTCAATACAGAATACCCAATGCATGTCAACCAGTGAACATAGAAAGGGAAAGGGTATTGGTGCAAGTGGAAGAGTGGGGAATCAAACCCAGTTCTCCCAGATTAGAGTCCGCGCACTTAACCACTACACCAAACTGGCTCTCCAGGATGCTGTATCACTGTCCTGATTGGAGCAAAACCTCACTGCATGTCAAATCCACTGTTTTCAACCTAAATGTTGCCCTTAGATTGAGGACCAAGTATAATTTCCAGTGCACATTTTTTCCCTTCCCAGTCCAGCCCTGGTGAGATCTAGATGGCTCTTTGGGTGTCAGTCCATGTCATGCTCTCCCCTGCCCAGACCTGATTCCAAGCTAGACAAGAATTGTGAGTCCAACTCATTGTAGTGTTCTTCTTCTTTCGTACAGGTACCCCTACAGAACTGAGGACAAGCACAATGTCTGCAGAACCTCAAGCAACTCACATGAAGCTGATTTCACCCACCAAAGCCTCGCACACTCAGCCAAACCAGGGCCCTTTGATGTATCCCTGGGGACCTCCTTGTCCCCAGCCATTTCTCGCCATGTTCCGTTTCCTGGATTCTGCCCAGTATTTTCTGCCTGTTCCTCATTGTAACTCTCTAGTGTTCTACTGTTTGGAAATTATGAAAAGTAACCTGCTCCCGCCCCATGGTGCTTTGTCCCTCTGTGTACATACTTAACGAATTTGCAGATAATTATCTCATGCTGCACGCAAAGATCACCTCCTCCGCCTCCCCTTCTGTGGCACAAATTAAGAACACCTCAAAATCTTCAATAATAACAGGGTTTTTACTTAGGACCTGCCATGGTGCGTCTCTCATTCTTTGTTTGCAATTTCATGAGGATTGTGGAAGGAGTAGAATAAAACAGAACAAAACAATGTGAAATGGTATAACTTCATGGCACACAATGTTAAATCTCAGTATCTTCCCTTGTTTATGCTGGGTTAAAGCTCATGTTTTACTGATATTCAAGTCCCAAATTCAGTCCCTGGCATCTCCAGTTAGAAGGACTTCATGAAACAGGGCTTGGGAAGGCACTGGAGAGCGAGTCAGAACAGACCGTCCTGCGCTAGATGGAGCAATCATTTGTTGGTTTATTATTCAGTTTAAGTCAGCCTCGCATATGTCTCCAAGACAACATATGAATTAAACATAGTCGTTTTAATTGATTTGGTGCTCTGTGCTTGAGGTAGAAGAATGCAGGCTGTCCTAGGCTGTCCTTTAGGATTACAGTTTCCCTTCCCATTCACTGAAGAGAGTTATATCTTTTTCATATAGTTCAGGGTTGTATGGCTTGCATTCAACCTACTGCCTAACGGACTATGCCCTGGTCTCGATGGCTCAGGCTACTCTGATCTCCTCAGATCTCGGCAGCTGAGCAGTCCCAGTTAGTACTTGGATGGGAGACCAGCGAGGAAGCCCAGGGTTGCTACACAGAGGCAGGGCAGGAGATGGGAAACCACCTCTGTTCATCTCTTGCCTTGAAAACATACAGGGTCACCATAAGTTGGGTGCAACTTGATGGCACTCTCCACCAATAGATAATGCTTGACAGGGTCAGCCAAACTGGGAACCGCTGGGAACCGCTGGCAAGGAATGAATAGGCCATGGTTTTATAAAGGCTGATTATAGTTCTTGTGGCTGCTACAAGGGTCACACATATGCTGGGAGTCATGTGTTTCTGAAGGATGTGTCTGTGAAGAAGAGGCTTCAGCTTCACCATGTCATTTTCCTAACCTGAAATACCTCTGGGAAGCTGCTGTTACATGTAAGTTTTCTAAGTGGGGCAAATGCTGGCTCCCTGAGGCTACTTCAAGTTGGGGAAATGGTGTGCTGGAGAAGGATGAGCCCCCTTCTCCATGCTTACCAGTTCCTGTATACCTGGGAAGTGCAGAACTTCCGGCGCACGTGTCATCCAAAGTCCTTGTGGTGGCCATGGGGTCTTTGTCAATTGTGAATCTGCCCTTAGAAGTTCCATGCTCTGCCAGCTCTCCTTTCGCTCCCTGTTTTTCTAGTACATTCCCTCTTTCTCTTCCTCCTACCACTGATCTGTATCTACTTCTTCAATATTATTTGAGAAGACTGGATTTCCTATTGGGCTAAGTATACTATATAAGCAAAAGACCCATTCCAAACTTGGGTGATGGTGGCAAAAGCTTGTGTAATAAAAACATATCACTGGGTAGAAACTCTGCCCTGACATGGATAGTCCAGCAAAAGACCCATTCCAAACTTGGGTGATGATGGCAAAAGCTTGTGTAATATAAAAATATCACTGGGTAGAAACTCTGTGCCCTGACATGGATAGTCCATGCTTGTCCGATCTCGGAAGCTAAGCAGGGTCAACCCCGGTTAGTACTTGTATGGGAGACCACCAAGGAAGTCTAGGGTCACAATGCACAGGCAGGCAATGGGAAACCACCTCTGAAGGTCTCCTGCTTTGAAAACCCCTTGGGGTCGCCATAAGTCGGCTGCAATTTGATAGCACTCATGTACACAGAGATTGCGCCTGTTCTGAGATCACTAAATACCACCACTACTCTCCAAAACAACAGAAAGTGGTTGCTTTTCCACAGTTGTGTGAACGTTTAAAGCAGGGATATCCTGCATAGAACAAAGAGCACATCTGCGGATTTCAGTTATGCATTTAGCCTGATGGAAGAGGATATCACCTTTTGTGTGAGTTATCTGCAGATTGGAGAAATATGAACATAAACATTATGGTTCACCCCTGAGAACTCTTAATTCAGGACTCTTAGGCTGCATACCTAAGAACACTTTTCCCGGAGTAAGTCTTGTAGAATAAAGTGGAACTTATTTCCAAGTAAACCTGCTTAGACTTGCTTCCTAAATCACACAGTGTGTTATTCCGATGGGACAGCTTCATTTTTATGGCTTTATGGGCTGATGCCAGCAATATCTGGGGTCCAGTAAATGCTTGGAAAATATGGTAGAATCCATTAGACTGGAGTGTTCCCAGGGCAATCTTGGTCACCAGACTTTTCCTCTTAAGCTTTCTTTCCACTGATGCCCCCCAACCCTCACCTTTGCTATCTTCCTAGTACCATTGCTCCTGGACCACCCATTCCTGTTGCCCTAAAATATGTAGGGCTGTCTGGAAGTGGAACCCTTGTCCTGGAATCTTTCTCCTAAGCCCAGATGGGTGTGTTTGATTACAACAAGGAAAAGGACCTCTCTGTTACTTCCCTAATCACAAGACTGAGCAGTGGCCCTAAACAACACATTCCTAAGCGCTATTAAGCCCTTTCTCTTGTCCTTATGGGGAGTTCTTCCTTCAGTGAGACAAAAGGAGAACCCTGATGGGTCTGACTGAGGGTCCATCTAGCCCAGCATCCTAGTCCAGCACTGGCCAGCCAGAACAACGTCACTTCCACTCATGGGAACTGCACTGAGGGTTATCCGTCCCATAAATTACGTCGACTGCACATCCATTTGAAATCACTATAAAAGCAATTTTATTTTCCCATTTGTTTGAAAATTGCCCTGTGCTATTGCGCAGAAGGGACCTCCACTCAGTGCTAGAACAGGTGCTGTACATACGCTAAGTCCCAGGTTCAAATTCAATTCATAACATCTCTTGGTAAAAAGAATTCAAGCAGCAGAGATAGGAAACATCCCTATCCAAGAGAGGTGCTGCAACTCAGAGTAAGCCACACTAGGCTAGATGGACCATTGTTCTGACTTCCAATGTATCCTGCGATAACAGCCATTACACTGAACAATTTAAAAGAGCTTTGATGTGATAGTTGTTCCAAGTAAAATGTCCTGAATTTTCATCATTCTGTGCTTCTTTTAGAATGTTTGTAGACATTCTGTGACATCACAGCAGCTCTGCCATTAGTAAGCGTAGCCTGTTATACATGTTTAGCAGGCTTATCAAAGTGTGCGTCATCGATAGTTCTTTTCCTGACCAATTTTTGAAACGAATTCTACCTTCATGTTGTTACTGTTTGATTACTGTTCTTCAGTGCGTCTCAGTTGATCATAACTGGCTGTTTCAGATCTGTCTGTTTGCTATTGGATAAGAGAATATTTAACTTGTCTGTGTAGCTTTCTGGTTCTTGTATGTTTATGGGCAAAATACACACAATACAAGGCAAATGGTACAGCAAAGAACATACAAAACTCATATGAATGTCAGAAAGGTGTTAACTTGTCTTAAATGTTTATTGGCCCATGACTGAAAACATTAATTCACCCTAATCACAGCCATCAAATTATGGCTGGTCCCATTATTCACTGGCCCAGGACATCTGGTTTGGTGATATCTGCAGTACAGTTCCATGCCCCTTCTGACTGTCTTTTCAAATGATACATTCAATAAATCACTATTGTGTTAACTTTGGGCTTTGCGATAAACACTAGAAGACACTGTACAGGGTTTCAGGCACTCCCTGCCATTGGAACTTCAGACTGGAGAATCTCCAAGCGATGACTCTAGAGACGGAAAGGAGGAAACAAACCGTGCCTCCAGCTAAGCTGGCTGGGCCCCTCTGATTCTTTCCAAGGGTTCTTTCTCTATGTGGCAGAGCCTCCATTCCTTCTGTCTTCTCTCTCCCTTTTAAACTCCTTGAGCTGCTGATGTTCTCATGTCATTGTAGTGTGACACTGCTTGACACCTAGTGTACCTCCCCCTATTATTCTCCTGTCATCTCATCATCCCGTAGGTTGGGAATGGGATCCGTTCAGTCTTGCATGCTTTACTTTGAAAAAAGAAAATAAGAATCCCCACAATTCACCGTGTTTGAGTTCACAATGCACACGTGCATACTTATTTTACATATATATACATATCTCCATTTGAATCTCTGTTCCAAAGCCGAAGAGCCAGCGCTGTCCGAAGACGTTTCCGTGGTCATGTGGCCGGCATGACTAAACACCGAGGTGCACGGAACGCTGTTACCTTCCCACCGAAGCGGTACCTATTTATCTACTTGCAATTTCTTGCTTTCGAACTGCTAGGTTGGCAGGAGCTGGAGCCAGAGACGGGAGCTCACTCCGTCATGCGGCACCCGGGTCTCGAACTGCTGAACTACCGACCTTCCATAGCCTGCAGTTCAGCATCTTAACCACTTGAGCCACCACCAGCCTGGGAGATAGACGGTGACTGATAAGTCCCAAGGTCACCCAGTGAGCTTCCATGGCGGAGGAAGGGTTTGGACCCAGGTCCCATTTAAAATTCTAACCACTACATCATACTGGCTTTTAGGGATCTCAGCCCCTGTTAAGACATAACTGATCTGTGTTAAAGTAATACTAATTGCAGATTCTTGCCCTGACCTGGATGGCCTGATCCTGCCAGATCTCAGAACCTCAGCAGGGTTGGCCCTGACGAGGGCCATAGCCAGCCGTAATTGCAGATTCTTGCCCTGACCTGGATGACCTCAGCAGGGTTGGCCCTGACGAAGACCATAGCCAGCCTTGGGGCGCTGCCTATCAAATTTGGAGCATCCCCACACAATATTCCCCAGCTGAAGCTTCTGACCTTCCCCCTCCCCCTCTGGGGAAGCAGGCAGCCCCTGCTTGTCTCATGCCAGTGCTCCCGCAGCAGGGACAGAGGCAGGCAGGCAGGCTGTGCAGTGCTGGGAAGAGCTCTTGGGTGAGCCACTTCCTGCTGCCCCTGGCTCAGCTCGCTGTTGCCACCGCACTCTGCTTCCTGACAGGTTGACAGCTGGGGGAAGCTCTGGTGGGGACTGGAGGCCCGCTTCGGATGCTGTGCCTGTTGGGGGCCAGCAGAGC